CACACACACACACACACACACACACACACACACACATATCTATATTATCTATCTATCTATCTATCTAAATATATATATATATTTATATATATATATATATATATATATATATGCATATACGTATGTGTGTATACGTATATGCATGTATATATATATATATATATATATATATATATATATATATATATATATATATATATATATATATATATATATGTATATGTATATATATGTATATATATATGAATATATATACCTATATATGTATGTATATATGTATATATATACACACATATATGCATACACACACACACGCACACACACACACACACACACACACACATACACACACACACACACACACACACACATACACACACACATACACATACACACACACACACACACACGCATACACACACACATATATATATACACATGTATATACACATCTACGTATATACACAAAGGCAACCAAAACCAAGGGAGATCCATACCAGTGCCTGCAAGATTTCGTGGCATTCAAATGTGCAGACGCGTGGATACCCCCAAAAGACCCCGATCACGGCACAACCAACCCCGAAATAGGACACATACCCCCTACCCCCTACCCCCCCTTTCCCCTCCCCTTAGCCGACCGCGTGTGGCACTGTGGCACTGGGGTCAGGCTCTTTGTTTCCTTCGTGGCTTGGGATTAAAGAGTTCTATGTCGGTTTAATAGTTTGCCTCAGTTTATTCTTCTTTTTTGCGTGTGTGTATTTTTATTCTTTACTTTATTTCATTATCATTATTATTATTATTATTGTTGTTATTATTATTATTATTATTGTTATTATTATCTATTATTATTTATTATGGTCGTTGCTCTTCGTCCTTATCTTTGTTGTTTTGTTTTCATTTTTTCTCTCTCTCTCTCTCTTTCGGTATTTCCTTTCGTTTCCATTACAGGCATCTACACTAAATACGGACTGATTACTGACCTATCACCACTGCCTATAATGACATAAGGTGTTGTTTTTTTATAATTTTCCTCGTTATTCTGTTTAATTTTCTCTTCGATGTTCTCCTATTTTGGTATTTTCTTGAAGCTATTTCCTCTTTTCTTTTTATTTCGTCACGTCATCCCTGTTTATTATCCTTCTCTTTATCGCTTTTATCTCATTTCGTTTCTTCCTTTGCTGCAAGGCCTACACGTGGTCTCGGGTTTGTGTGTTTGCGAGGAACACGACTAGTTATTATTATTATTTGTTGTTGCTGTTGTTGGTTTAGTCCCTATTTATTCCTCATCTTCTTTTCATTCCTTTCCGCCATCCCAAGGCTATTACGGTAACCAACACTAAATGCTAACTGACCATAGGCCTACCGCCCCCGCCTATAAGGATACAAGATTTTGAGATTTTAACCCCTGGTCTCCGCTTCGCTTTTGTTCGCAGGGAAGACGACGGCCATGGGGCGCGCTGGGCTCCTCCTGCTGGCGGCGACGACGCTCTCCTGCCTCGGTAAGACCCAGGTCATCGGGAGGAGAGAGAGGAAGGTATTTAGAGGAAGGTCTTTGGAACCTTGGCGCCGGACTTTCCTTCGGCAGGAGGGATCTCCTGCCGGAGGGATCTCCAGCTCGGCTGGAGGGCGCTTATTTTCCGATTTCCCTCCCTTTTCTCCTCTCTTCCCTTCCATCCTTCCCTCTCCTCCTTTCCTTCTCTCCCCCTTTCCCTCTTTCCTCCTTCTCTCCTTTTCCTCCTTTCTCCCTCTCCCCCTTTCCTCCTTCCCCTCTCCCGCGTCCCCCGTCTCGCCTCCCCTCCCCCCCCCCCCTCCTCTCTCCCTTCCGCTGCATCTGCTCTCGCCCTCGAGCATCAGACGCTGACACTCGAGATCACAGCCTCCCGCCGCCTGACGCAGATCACCTTGCCTCCTGCGCTGCTCCCTCGCCCTCCGAGTCAGCCAGACGAGAGGCAGCTGCGGTTTGCCTGTTATCATTATCATTATCAGGATGGTGATGGTGCCAAGAGGACGCTGTGGTTTAGACTTTATCATTATTAATGTTGTTATGTTCGGAATGGTGATGGCGGTGACGTCAGAAGGCGGCTGTGGTGTAGACGTTATCATTATCATTATCAGGATGGTGATGGTGCCAAGAGGACGCTGTGGTTTAAATTTTCCCTTTGATGACTTCGCTATGTTTAGTGGCGAAGGCGGTGATGACGTAGTTCTCGCTTTTTGAGTCTGCTATTTTGGCAATCTCATTCTGCCTTTTCTCCCTTTTTTTCATTTTCTTCTTCTTTTCTTCTTCTTCTTGCTTTCTTTATTAGCTTAAAGACAAATCAGTTCGAGTTTTCTATGTGTGAATATTTTCGAGGTGACTGGTGCGCGTGACGTTTTTTTTTTTCTCTTCTTTTGAGGGGGTGGGGGGGGATGTAGGGTCGGTTACTCGCTGGTGTTATGTTGCTTGAATGGGGCGTGTTTTGTGGGTCTCATAACTGATACTTTTCGTTTGTGAATGGTG